CAAAACTCACTATTCCTTAATGCAATGGACAATATCTCACTGGTTCTGCAGAACAAAATAGATTACTTAATGAGACAGGTTAATGATAACAATGTTAACAGTAACCTCTCACTGATACAGGATACAATGAATAGCATAATTCAACAGATTATGGTACATGCTAATAATACCAACAGGTCTACAGATGAACTACTTCAATTACTGAACGCTAGTCTTATTAAAGATATCAGTATACCAACTGCTGCTGCTGTTAATGATGTACTACTAATAGTCAAGGAATTACTACAGATACAGAATGGATCCTCTACTCAAACTGTTTCATGCAAAGTTATTAAAGCAGCTCATCCAAATAGTCCTTCTGGTTACTATCATGTTAATGGTCACAATACATACTGCTATATGGGAGAGCTGTGTGGACAAGATGGAGGATGGACAAGAATAGCTTATCTTGATATGACTATGAACTGTCCTTCTGGACTTCAGGAATGGTTCCCTAGCTCAGGCAAAGGCAATAGAGTTTGTAGGAGAAAGGGTAATTCTGCTGGTTGTAGGTCTAATGTATTCCAAACAAATGGTATCAGTTATAGTCAAATATGTGGTAAAGTGGTTGGATATCAAAAGGGAAGAACTGATGGACTCAACATTGGCAATATTAATAAACCTTATATTGATGGAGTCAGTATCACACGTGGGTCACCTCGTAAACATGTCTGGTCTTATATAGCTGGAATAAGGTCTGATGTCAATACAGGTGCTACCTGCCCTTGCAATGCTGGAGCAACCAATACAGTTCCATCATTTGTAGGAGAGCACTACTATTGTGAGTCAGGAGCAAACAGTGAGCCTTCCCTTACTACAGTATACACTGGTGATCCATTGTGGGATGGAAATAACTGTCCTTCAGTTGAAGCTCCTTGTTGTAATGGTACTGGTCTTCCATGGTTCTTTAGAGATTATGGTAATGCTACCATTACTGATTACATTGAACTGAGGGTGTGTGGGAATGAGGTATGGGGTAATGAAGATACTCCAGTTCAATTGTATGAGATTTATGTCAAGTGAAGAAACAATTAATAATTATAAGTAGTGCATTGTCTTTGTTCGTAGGTAGTTTTATAGAACATTTTCATTAGTAGAAAGATAATAATAATTATTATTGTGTAAATAAATCGTAACAAACAATTTAAAATTGAAAGCAGAGATATCATAAACTACAATACCTTGACAAAGTATTTATAATGAAAGCAAATGTGCTGTTATTCATTAATAGTGCCAATATAAACACAAACAAAATTATATAAATAAATAGAGCTTTAGATAACCATAAGCAGTGCTAGTAAAGAGATGGAAAACAAGACAATGTCAACAAGCTTTCAAAGTGAAGCTAAGGATTTCAATGAAGAAATGAAGCTAACACAAAACACAGCCTATCAACCAGTAGTAAAGACTGATACTAGTACTGAAGAAGCAATGTACTCAGATCTTCATGACTACTCAGGTATATACCATACAAGTAATTTATTATTAAAACTAATGTATGATATATTCATTAGATTATCAGCTACCAAAAGCTAATGTTAAGGATACCAAACCTCCTCAACAACCAGTGCAGTATACTGTA